TCTACATGCGTGACCATTGCATATCTGCAGACAATTCAATATCGAAATTGAACAGCAGCCTTGTTACAGCGAGTATAACTCTTAATCGTCAAAGTTTCTGAGAAGAAATATGTACAACAAGTTCAGCGTTAATTCTACAATTATGGCGATACATTCATGTATACAGTCTACAAGCTCACAACTTGCAAGTTGTTTATACCCCTTATATATAAGGAAGTGAATTATATTCAAAACTGAAATTACTTTCCGCGACAACCAGGAAAATAACCTACCCAGCATATAATTACAGGAGCGAGATATTTCGGCGGCGGAGGTTTTAGCGGTTACCATTAACCCTCGAAACACGTGGTCACTTTCGGATAACCGGGAAGCTACGGTGAAGACCGGCGTTTATGCTAATATCAGCGGCGACAAGAATTTATTCAAGGTGGGTTTTCCGCTACACGGTGACATCACAGCGGGTATTATACAGAATCAAAATGCCTTGTTCTGATTGGACCCGCGAGGGACAACGACCTACACAGAGGTCGATCTCTATTCACAGTTCAAGACTTACGTCACAAGTGACAACTATATATCAGTGAGCGAGCAAGCCTCATTACAGTCCAGTTAACCTGAACATTCATGATTAGACTGCCTTTCTTCAAGTTAGAGACCTCCCCTGTCAAGTATAGGCGAGGGATCGGCAGTCAGGCGATTTTACATAAAGTTCAGCGAGGACAGACACACCTGGTTGTGCACCTACATCGTCAAAGGACTTAGCAGCGAATTACCTAGGCGAAGATACAAGTGGATCTAAATCCACAGCGTTTCAGACTACAGCTGAATTTCATCAAGCGACTAACACAACTAGATGGTTAGTAAACCTACTAAACTTCTGTTTGGAGAATAAAGCGGAAATTTCCGCCCAACCTGGGGATATGAATATAGTGCTCCAACACCTCACAAGTGAGGTTTATGAACACGCCTGGATGACATACTTGGACCCCATGATACGATGATTCTATCAAGATGGCCAGCAAGAGCACTGTAAATTTATCTCCACCAAACCAAACAGGAGGAAAAATGCAACAGATTATTTCCTCTATCATCAACTTTACATGCAGAGTGAAGTCTCATGTACTATATCTCCATTTGGATCAGAACTGTCATACTACGTGCATATGCGGATGGACCTATTCCGACCCTCCATGAGCTTAATACTCATGATATTATAAGCTAACTTCTACAATTGTTCTACACAAATGTGATTGAAATAATGGAGGGTTTATTTCTGGAAATCCGATATGGTGGTTGCAAACCATTATCTGAGAGATATCACCACCGAGGGCGTCTCAGGTATACACCAATTCGATCCCATGGTCCTCGCACAACAGCTGACAGTTCCTCGGAGAAGATAAGTCAATCTAACAGTTTTTTACTTATCTTATAACAATACTAAATAGCTTCATGCTATATATAATTTACTTAAGTTCCTTTTATCATCACAGTACTATGATTATTACATCATACTATATATAAGTTAACAACTCTACAGAGTTTGTTATTATATATATTTACCTTAAGTTATTCATATCTTAAGAGTAATACTATGGTTACATGATAAATGCATTAGCTAACAAACTCTACAGAGTTTTTGGCTATTTTATACATAGCTTAAGTAATTAAGCTAACAAACTCTACGGAGTTTTACTATTATATAGGTAACTTAAGCTAATTATACCTTAAGCATAGTACTATACTCATATTATTAAAATATATTGGCTAACAAACTCTAAGGAGTTTTGATATTATATAGGTAGCTTAAGCTTATTCATATCTTAAGCTTAGTACTATGTTTATATCATATAAGTAGATTAGCTAACAAACTCTAAAGAGTTTTTGCTATTTGGCTTAAGTATCATCATATTTCTAAGCAATATGGTTATATTATAACATGTATTAGCTAACAAACTCTACAGAGTTTTAGCTATTATATATGTAACTTAAGCTTATTCATATCTTAAAAAGCAGTACTATGTTTATATCATATAGGTATATTAGCTATCAAAACTCTAAAAGAGGGTTTTGCTATTATATACTTCGGCTTAAGTTTCATCATATTTTAAGCTTTATGGTTACATTATAACATGTATTAGCTAACAAACTCTCACGGAGTTCTTGCTATTATATATGTAGCTTAAGTTTTCCTTCATAAGCTCAATACTAGGTTTATATCATAGCTAACAAACTCTAAAGGGTTGTTTTAAGCTATTATACAATTAGCTTAAGTTTTCATCATATCTTAAGCAGTATGTTTACATTATAAAGGTATTAGCTAACAAAACTTCGATGGAGTTTTGTTATTATATATATATAGCTTAAGTTTCATCATAACTTAAGCTCAGTACTATGTTTTTAACATAAAAGTATATTAGTTAATAAACTCTAAGGAGTTTATTTTGCTATATACATTTAGCTTAAGTCTAATCTTATCTTAAGCTTAGTACTATGGTTACACTATAAACATATTAGCTAATAAACTCTACAGAGTTTTTGGCTATTATATATGTAGCTTAAGTTAATAATATCTTAAGCACAATACTATACTCATATTGTAAAATATATTAGCTAACAAACTCTCACTGGAGTTCTGCTATTATATATGTAGCTTAAGTTCATTATATCTTAAGCACACTACTATACTCATATTGTAAAATATATTAGCTAACAAACTCTCTGGAGTTTTGCTATTATATATGTAGCTTAAGTTAATTATATCTTAAGCACACTACTATACTCATATTGTAAAAATATATTAGCTAACAAAACCCTACAGAGTTTTGCTATATATATGTAGCTTAAGTTAATTATATCTTAAGCTCAGTACTATACTAATATTATAAATATATATTAGCTAACAAACTCTACAGAGTTTGGCTATTATATATGTAGCTTAAGTTAATTATAGCTTAAGCACAGTACTATACTCATATTATAAAAATATATTAGCTAACAAACTCTACAGAGTTTGGCTATTATATATGTAGCTAAAGCTTATTCATATCTTAAGCTCAGCATTATATCTATATCATATAAGTATATTAACTAACAAACTCTAAAGAGTTTGCTATTATATAATTAGCTTAAGTTTAATCATATCTTAAGCTTAGTACTATGTTATATCTTAAAGTATTTTAGCTAACAAACTCTAAGGAGTTTATACTAGCATATTAACAAGCTTAAGTCTATTAGTCTTAAGCATTGTATTAATGTTATATATACTTTATCATAATAAGTACATGGTAATAACCTTTTATATGGCAGCTGATAAGTTAGCAGCAGGAATTCATCAGTTCAGTGCCTTTATGAAGTTCCCATAGGGTTATTACAATCATCACAGTTCAAATCACTAATTATTAAAAATCCAAAGTATTAGATATTCCCACCTCCGTAGGGTAGGATGCTACAAGCAAAAAGAGCATGAGTCAGGATAAGGGAAAATATGTAATTTTGGAGTAAAATTGATATTTTATACTTATCCTGACTCATGAGGTCAGCCCTCCCATCCTCCCAAATAACACTTTGGATTTCCTGTAAATTCAAATGTTGGGCTCAGTATATGAGGAGAGAGTGAGGCACATGGGTAGAGGTGGCGCCCTCGTTCCCGAGCTTGTGGAAAGGAGGTAACTCGTGGTGAATACTAATTAGTGATTTTAAATTGAAGGGAGCTTCAATTAGGGAGATACAAGTGTTCCACTATGTTCGCAAGAAGAAGAAGACAAGCAAAAAGAGCATGAGTCAGGATAAGTATAAAATATCAATTTTACTCCAAAAATTACATTAATAGTATTTTGTATTTTATTTTACTGATGACTGCGTCAGAATTCGTCCCGTTATATTATTGTGCATGTTTGAACTTGATCTCGGGGATACGCTTGCACAGCTGATTGCTATTTCCGGCTCAAATACACACGGTGATCTTAATCCCTGCAAATATGACAATGAATGAATGAAAGGTTTCTCCGCTGTGTATAAATTTTCACAGTAAAAAGTTTTGCACAAAAATAAAACCTGCGCGATATATAATACGCTTACAGTAACTAGTAAGAAGAAAATACTAGTATATCTTAAATCCACATGAATCTAAAGATTCACTTGTCTTAGAGAAGTATGAGAAGATTGTGGTCCCCCTGAGTTGATAACGGAAGTTGGAAGTATAGGATCTAGGAAGTGCCGTTAAGCAGTCCCTATGGGGTGATACAGGACAGCTGATGAATCCACGAAGTGACTTGACCCACCACCAATCCGTCGGATTCTATAACCAAAAGATCATGAGTCAGGATAAGGAAAAATATGTAATTTTTTAAGTAAAATTGATATTTTATACTTATCCTGACTCATGAGATCAAGCTCTCCCAACCTCCCCGCTGAAGACACTTTGGGTTTCACAGTAAACTCAGGTGCATGGGGTAATTTAGGAGAGAGTGGCAAGTATGGCAGGTCACATGACTGTTTGCGTGGGAAAAGGGAGGCAACTCATGGGTGAGAGACCTTTTACGTCTGCTTTAGGGAACTACAAGGGATTCAAGTGTTCCACTAACATTCGCATAGAAGAAGGAGATAAGCAAAATATCATGAGTCAGGATAAGTATAAAATATCCATTTTACTTTAAAAAATACATTTTTGTAGTTTTTGGTTTTACATTATTATAACAATGGAAAATGTAAGTCACATGACAATATCAAGTCAGAATGAATTAAGTGTTAACTTGCATGATCGGAACACATTTCATGCCTTAAACTGTAATGGTTTAACAACATGTATGTGTATTACTAAGTTACCAACTTCAATATTGTTGAAACCATCATCATATTGTGTTATATCATGCCAGTTACGCTATGGTTTGCTTGATAGGTATGAATTTCGAGTACTCAGGTCCGAGTCTAGTCTGACCTCGAGTATTCCAGTCCAAGAAAATGGACTCGTTGAAACACTACTCCATTTGTTTCTTTTGTAGGAGCCAGTGAATCACATGAGACTAGTGCCTACAGAGGCAAGCTTCCAGATTTCTCAAAGAGAGTTGGTGAGTTGATACTGTGACGGGAGAGTTTGAGTCATCAGACTAGCTGATGGTGTGCTTAATGATTCATTCATCCATACAGATAATGCTGTCCAGATTATGAAAGAGAAATGTTTCATCCAGTTTGTTTTGTTAAAATCAAAGAGATGTTATTGTAAGGTTCTTTTTGCTCAAGTGACTCAAAGTAGTTGCGACTGGGACTGAACACACATGGTCTCATTTTTGTGATGCTTTAACTTTGGACCTTTACTTGACCTTTGACCATCCTCCTATGTCCTTCATAATATACTCTGGTGTCCCCCGCCATGATATTGCTGGAATAATGCTAAAAGTGGCGTAAAACTAAACTCAGTCAGTCATAATATACTGTTTCCCTTACTCTTACTCTTACTGCTGTATATTACCATACAGAAGCCGAACTTTGAGGACCACAGAAAGCAGTCTGTAGAAGGGGGTAGGCTTATCTACACTTTTGTGAAACTTTTTTTCAGGGAAGCTAAAGCACGGTGTAAGTCATATTTGCAGGAAATGTATAGTAATAACATGGACTTCAGATGTTGTAAAAGATTGTCAAAACACTTATTTCGAACAAATTATGAAGTATTTTTTTAAACAGATCAGTATTGGGCTGGCTATCAGATGCCATTTGACATCATCAGAGAACCTAAAAGTGATTAGGTTGAAAAATTATTAAATCATCAACCTCATGTATCAGATGACCCCCTTCAAACCCGACTAATTCTAGGTAAAAAAAACTCACCAAGTACATGGTGATTTACAGTACTATCTTCCTGCCCAAAGGCTTCTGTGTATGAGTAAAGTGGGTAACCTCACTTCTGTTCAATGTATGCTTGCAAAAACATCTGAGTTTTACTTAGCTTATTTTGGTAGTTTGTCATACTGAAGTCCGAGTACTAGTCACTGTTTGTACCTTATTTATATCTAATTCATTCTAAGTTCTGGTCAAGTAAGTTGTATGGGGTGGTGTATTGTGTAGGACAGAGATGGAGTCTTTGTACTTGCTAGCTGCCTGCAGAGAGGTACAAGACTGTTGAGGATCCACACACCTTCTAAACGTGCTGTCCCGTTCCAGTTAAGTGTTTCCTAAGGTGTCTATCAGGCAGTTGCACAAGTAGACTCAATTGCATCCCTGGCCAAGTTGGGACAGATGGACTTAGGGTCTGTGGTCACATTCCACAACAAAATTGAGTTCACCTCCATAGTGGGTCAGTGATTAAAATGTTCAATTCAGAGATTCAGTTTTATTGATTAGTATAATGAAGTGGGAAGCCCATTTATGGTGTCCACCACTGTGATATAGCAGGAATATTATTTAAAGTCACCTCCATGGACACTGGTCATGCCACACGTTCCCTACATGGACAGTCGCCATATGCAGGCTCCATACAAGCTATTATTGGCATTAGAAAATGCTACTCATGAAACTCTTGGTACCACATGGAACCATGACTGACATGGCTGATATTGACTCACATCAAAGGATTGATAGCCCTTTTCATTCCCCTATACTATAGGAGTATCTCAGAGGACTCACCAGTCACTAGGCTGACGGATCAATTTGATTTAATCCATATCCGTTTGGACCTGAAGATGCAGGAAGATGTCCGTCTTCCCAATTTCAGATGTTATGGTTTCAGAAAATACATCAGAATAAAGCAGTGTTGGAACAGTCCTGAAGATTTGTCCTCTAACCCCGAACTGTCATGCTGCAACACTTCTTAATGGAAGCTGAACTATTTTGGGGGGGAAATTTTATGAGAATACCACACAAAAGTTTCAGCATTCCACCATCAACTTAGCAGTTTTACTATTTCGCCAAATGATACTCAAATGTCATCCTGCATGCTTCACTGAAATGCTTGTCCACCATTTCATCAAACGTCCTTATGCCATCCTGTATGCTCCACTGAAATGAATAAAAATATTGAAAAAAAACAACAAAAAAACCAAAAAACTTAGCAGTTAACACTCAGTCTGACACCAAGATTTGAAGATGGATCACAAGGGTGGATCCAGAGGGAGGTGCACAGGTTTTACATGGATATTGTATTTAATGTAGAGCATTGTGTATGATTTGTTTCAAACATACAGATTATCATGTTAACTTTCAAGTTAAGTACAAGGCTGTCACAAAGATTACTTTCAATTTATCTTGAAGTTGGTCAAGGAGTACTTATTGGTTCAAGGCACTTAATCTGGGAATTACATGGTCTTCATCTAACAGTGTAAATATTTTATTGCTTTTTATGGGCTTTTATTGTTAATTTCAGAAAAGTTTTCTTATGAAGAATGGAAAGACAAACCAGAAATGGTCCCAAAAGGGAGCAGCTACTATGAAGTAAGTCCTACACTTAGATCGGTAACATTCTTTCTTTTCTTTAGCCACAATATATATTTGCCAAATACATTTTGGCATGAATACTTAATCTTATGATGATATCATATACAGCAGTGACAACCTAGGCACAATGTGGTCTGGGAGATGCAGTTGCAGTTTTCATCATTTCTGCCAAAAGAGAATGGCTGTGTTGAAAGAGTTGTGCAAGAACAACAAATTTGCAGGCTTTATGGGATTTCGGCGGAGAATGCGGCCATCAAAACAGGGAATATAACAATCCAGCAAGTAGCTTCTCATGCAGTAGGACTGAGAGAGAGGAAGCAAGTACCTTGGCCCAGTGCATTAGATGCACAGCATCTGCTTTGTTAGAATTAGTCCGTTTCAGAGTAGGAGCCTGCCAAAATCCAAGGAGACTCAACCTATTAGCAGACAATCTGTCATGTCAGGGGCGATTACAGAGATAGGACACAACATTCCCCATTGGTTCTCCCTTTCTCCTAGTGACATTGTATATTCCCACAGACAAATTCTGACCTTCATAACCCAAGGTTGTTTTAGCTTGGCTAATCAACATGTTTGCCAGATAAGGTACACTGGATGTCAGAATGATATAATAGCATCCAATCAAATACAGACTCTTCATTATTCATATATTCAGTGAAGGGGCTTCTAATGCATTTGAACAAGTCAGGATTTGTTTCCACTCGGAAGATCCAGTTTTCAGTTCGTAGCAAATATGGATGACTGCTGTAAGACAGAATTCTGTCAGTTGTGGACCTTATCCATCTGAATTTAGAGAGGATGACTGCATCAGCTCTTCTGAACCTTCGTTCTAGTATTGTTAAAAGATTTAAATGCATAAGTTATATGTTTGTATGTCACTTACTTGGCACTAAGAGTTTTAGAATTGCATACTGCTATGGTTGAATCAACATTTACACATCCTTGGGACTGGACAACTGTTGTATGTAAGACCTTACCAGAATTTGTAGCAAAGAGGCAGAGTGTCGGCTGTGTCAATGCAGGCGTGACAATAGCATTATCATTATGTCTCTCTCTCTTCATAAATTATGTGATGAGAATATTTCTCATTCACTTAACTTTCAAATTTCACCATGCGTGAGTTCATAGGAGTATGAACCAGTATTCATACCATTTGGTCCTCACTTTTGGTAACCCTAGCTGGTGTTTCAAAGGATGTATGCACAAAGAATGTGGTATACATGTATGGGCCTGAAAATCATACAGCCAGAAAACTTTTTAATAAGTGATAATATGAGCTTATTTGTAGTCAAAATGCCCAACAGGAACATCCTTTAGAGTAGCTTTGTTACAACAATTTGATTTGAATATCATTGTTAGATTAGCAATGTCTTTTCAGAGCTATTTACTGTAAGTAAGTCAGTCGCAGTGCATCATTATACATTACACTTGACATCAAAATGGTCAGTATGATCCACAAATGAGATTTATGTTCCTCATGGATTTAGAATGTTTGTCAGTTAATTTTTAATCTTTTTTTATAAACTGGCTGATAATGTAGGACGAGTCAAATGAATTAGCGTTGAAGTTAACAGACTGCTAAAAAATGTCTGTCACTAATATTCTTCTCTTCAAAACTTTAGACTCACTTAAAACACTCACTATATGTTATGTATATATATGGTTACATCGAATAGAGATTTCTCCACTAACTTGGGGGAACCAACTGCAAACTTTATGCAGATGCATTGCACGAGGATCATGCATCAAATTGCTGAAAAGCATGTGCAGATATCGTGCATGTGAACAGCTGCATTGTGATGTAAAGTTTTGTTAAGAATTCACCAATTTCCACTGATATGTATCATTTATTGAACACATGACAATAATTTTTTCAATGTTACGAATTTGTTTTACAATTTATAAGTTCATGTGTAAACAGTACCTTTAAACAGTATGGAATATTTTGCAAACTTTAGTTTAGAACAGTTGGCTGAAGTAAGTGGCTATATTTACATCAGTGAGTCTAAGCTTTTGATGAGAAGTATAGAAGGTTGTAGTATGAATTTCTTTAATTTCTTAACTAGGATGGATTGTAGTGAGAATATTCTATCATGTCATGCATCAAGCATTCTGTATTTTCCAATGTATGCAAAATCAGGTGTTTGAGAATAAAAACTTGTCTTTCTTGTTGTCATGTTTATCATCACTCTTTTATTAGTTCTACAATATAGAGTAAAATCATCATCACCTCATGTCTTTCATCTGGGACAGTTAGTTTCAGTATATCTATCTCGCACTTCTTGTGCTGTTTCTCTTCAGTTCCCACTCTTCTAATGTATATTCACTGTGAATATAAAGTCAACAACTCACCTTCCCTTACCCATATATGGCCATATCTAACATACGCACAAAGAAATAGGGGTGGTGGGGTAGCCTAGTGGTTAAAGCGTTCGCTCATCATGCCAAAGACCAGGGTTCGATTGCCCACATGGATACAATGTGTGAAGCCCATTTCTGGTGTCCCCCGCCGTGATATTGCTGGAATATTGTTGAAAGTGGCATGAAACTAAACTATGCCTTCGTTTAATGCAAAAAGATACTAGCATGATTTCTGGTGTTTTCCTTAATCACTGTTTAACTGTTGACAAGATCATATAGAAATCTGTATGTGGCACCCTCTTGAAGTGATGTGTCAAAAGTCAATATACAAATTCAGTATCGTTTGTGTGTCCGCCATTAGGGTTGATGCAAGCTTGACACCGACAACGTAAAATGACACTAAGCGACTGAAGAAAGCTTGGGGAATGTTGTTCCATATCTGAACCAACGTTTGTACCAATTCAGCTAACGTCAATGGTTGATTCTGGGCTTGATATAAACGTTGCTCCATTTCATCCAAAGCGTGTTCATAAGGGACAGATGCAGAGAAATAGATGGCCAGGGGAATACCAGAATGTTCTGCTGTCTCTGTCCTTGAATGAATGGCACATGAGTCCTAATGATCTCATTCCTGTATAGCACACCTGTCATATTGCCATTGACAATGACAAGTTGTTTGTGATCCTGAGATATTATGCCTCCCCATACCGTAACGTTTCCATCACCGAACTGCCAACGTTGAACAATGCACGGATCAGCATACAGTTCACCTCGCCGTCTGTACACCCTTGCCCTGCTATCTGAGCTGTCCAGATGAAATCTCGACTCGTCAGTGAACAAAACACCATGCCAATCTTGTCTCCTCTACCACAGATGCTCTCCGCACCATCAAGACGTGCCTGTCTGTAACGTGGGAGCAAAATTGGACGTATTGCAGGCCATCAGGGCTGGATGTTGTGCTCCCTCAGTCAGTTCTGTACAGTTCTGGAACTGATTGGATGTAAGCCAAGAATGGTCCGAACAGTCAAACGGGCTGTCTGGACTCAATTCCTCAGATGGGTCAGCCAAATGTGGTGGTCTTGCTGACTTGACGTCACGCATGGATGGCCGGTCCAAGGTCCATGGTGTTTGAATGGACACCAAAATGTCTGACAACTTAATTTTGGGCCATTCCAGTCTCCAGCATACCCATTTTCTGTAAGCTATGGCATGGCGTTCACACAGTTTAGGTTGAAATTAAAATGTTTTCCACTTTCAAAGGCTAGAGAATAATGAACCGTTCTTCATTCTTTTTCAGAGAGATCGTCCTTGGGGTACATATATGCATTTTCTGCGGCTGAAAATGTCCTGTGACAGTTGTATCAATGTTTTAATAAAAATATTGTACAATAAATAAAAATCTTTTTATCTATTATACGGCCCCCACCACGTGGAGTTACCTCCCTGCTACGCATGCGCAGCCAACCAGGTAAGCACCTAGGCCCGTATCATCATTCCTTCTGCTGTCACTCAAAGCGTTCACACGTGTTTCGAGTATCCTAGCTGAATTACTTCTCTTGAGAGATAAAGAATGTCTGAGACTCCAACAACTCTATGTATGGTCTTTGCAGTCTATTATTTCTCATTTATGTGACTTTGTATTAAACTTTACGCTAGCTTTCCCATGGTTTACGCACGTGTTGCTTTTCCATGGCGGGAAGTTTAGCGTGCCACGTGGTTGCCATATTGCGTTATTAACCAAGTATTTCTCCCCGTGGTCGCATTCGCGTAATTTTCAATGTTTTGTACGTGTATAATTATGCTGCTGGTTCCGCTGTTAGCTACATGCTTGCGTGTTTGCTTTCAGGTGTTTACTGGGTGTTCTCTCTGCGGGCTGAACCTTCCGCAAGCCGATAAGCACGAGAAGTGCTTGTGCTGCCTTGAAAAGGTAATCCGACCTGGTACCCACCCCTCTTGTCTCCTTGTCGCCCGACCGGATCACCAGAGTACGTTCCTCTCCCAACCCCAGGCACCAGCGCGGACTTGGCTCCGTCTACTGGGTCATATGGCGGCAACTATCTCTGTAGTGTGGCGGGCGCGGTTGAGGATGGGCCCTATACAGCAAGCTTTGGCGAGACTCGGAGGATCTGGAGCAGTGTCTCACAGTCCCCGGGTGGTTGTCTCCTCACCTTCAGTGGTGGACCAATGTCGGGAATCTCTCCAAGGGGATCCCTTTGGAACTCCCGAGTGGATGCTCGATCGGCAGATATTCGGAGTTATCTCCCAGTTGTACAGATCGTTCCAGGTGGATCTGTTTGCGTCCGGCGGGACGAATCAGATACCCGTGTTCTGCTCTCAAATACCGGACCAGAGGGCGTTGGCTGGATTGGACGGGCAAAGTGCTCTGGGCGTTCCCGGCGCTACCACTCATTCCCCGGGTCCTCTCCCAGCTGTCCACCCAGCCAGCTCGGCTACTTGTGCTACTGGCACCGCTATGGCCGTCACAGAGCTGGTTTCCGGTAATTCTCAGGTTTCTGGCTCAGCCTCCTGTTCTATTACCTTTGTGACCAGACATTCTCACTCAGAACGGCGTGCCATACCCCATCCAAGGATTCAGTGGGTGGCTTGGCCTCTGTCAGGTCTAGCCTCGAAGCACG